CCATTTGTCTGCTTCCTCGTTTTTGAAACATTTCATTTTATTTGGGGGCGCTAGAATGTTTTGTTAAAGCGGGAAGCTGGGTTTGAGTTTTCTTAGTTTTGGCTAATTTTTCGGCAAAATTTTAGGCGTTGCAAGCGAGCGGTGATTCTTAGGGATATTTCTAACGTTTACCCCAGATTTAAAATTTTGCAAAAGCTAACCTTGCGCTTTTCAGGGAACCCCGCCCGGCTTTGACGCGCCCCCGCCGCCGGAGGCGCTGAAGAAAGCTAAGGAGGAGGAGGAGAAAAAGAAGGAGGAAGCCAAAAAGGCTGACGAAGCTGAACAACAAAACGAAGAGGCAGGAGCTGTACAACAGGAGGAGCAAGGGAAAGAGAAGGAAGCTGACGAGGCGCACGGGTCGCCGGCGCCCATCAAGAAGGCGCCCTGCGTCCCGCCACGACGCCCATCGACGGAAGGCCGTGATATTTTCCGGACCCTGCAATTTACGGTGAGGAAAAGCTGGCTAGTTGATCGTACTTTCTCAAAGCTTGTAAATCAAGCTTCAAACTGACGCTGTCTAGCTAAAATTGCGCCGTTTTCTACGTGTTTAGCGTGCATTTTACCATGTAAAGACAAAATCTACAGCTTTTAAAACGAGACGATAAGTTTCTAGAAGCTCCCCGCCCCGGCACCATCGTCCGAAAAGCCGGAACGTCCGGCCACGCTCGACCTGGCGGTAACTCCCGGTGAATCTGGGAATCAGGTATGTTAAACACAGCTAAAGATTACAAATCGAAATTGTCAATTAGAAAATTAACTACGAATAAGATTCCAGCAAAAAACCCACCTCGACTTTACGAAACAATTTATGAACTATCGACAGAAATTACCAAACAGAATTCCAAGCAAAACAGGCCACAAGGAACATTAATATAGTAAAAAGCTATTCGTTAAACGCATTAAAACATGAAACATGCTTTTTATAGCGAGCAAAACCGACAACAAAAAAATGTTTTTATGGATTACTGCGATAGATACATCATTTTTATAAAAATCTGACCTTGTTAAACGAACCTTTTCAGCACTGCCGGCAGCCTGTTGCCGTCCAGCCTGCACTCTTCCCTCTTGGCCAATCGCGAAGCACCACGGTCCTCGTCGAGTTTTGATTCCGACGCCCAACTCGTCGAAAAGTTGCTTCCAATAACGTCTAAAATGGACAGCCCCGCTTCAACCCTCAAAACTTCTAAAAACCTCGTAAAGCTTCTCAACTTCCCCATTTCCGTAAGCTGGCTGGCCAAATTCGTTTCCCTATTTTAGTGTATAGAGTTTTCATTTTTGTCGTCTAGTAATGGCATGTTTGGCGTCATTGTGCCTGCTGTCATTATTTCCTAAACTCTCACTGCCCAAAGCGAGGGCAGATCTAACCAGATGTCGGGGATTACCTGGAATTTTTATCTAGGTTTTTCTGCAAAAATCTCGAAATCTAACCTGGTCTTTGCTAAAGATTAGTTTTTATTTGAGCCTTTTTGGATTTTTCCTTCCTCGCTTGTGCTTGCCGTGCTCTACTATCGTTGTCTACTCGATTCCGCTGCCCAAGGATATTTCGCTTGCCCCCCCAAAAAAACATCCCCGCAAGCCCTACGGTTTTGCACTTTTCCGCGTTGTTTGGCAGTTAGTGTTGGGGAGTTGGAAAGTGCTGAAAGCGAGTCCCTTAGCAATACTAACGGAAACCAACTTCGTTCCTTCCGGATCGATTTTGCGAAGCTGTTAATACCAAAAAAAAGCAGCCCTACGAGACTATTTGTACAGTCTAAAACTTCAAAAACCTGAAAAATTCTCATGATAATTCAAAACCGGGCTTTTTTGACAAAATCGTTTCTGAAAACGTCGGTTTCCAAATCCTACCCATCATCGCGCATTCTCAGCTTCTTGTTCCTTGAAAAAAAAAAGTTTAGTCGAAATCCCGATTGTGCCTTATCGCACTTATAAAGTCTAAATGCCAATGCCCTGGCTGATTTACGCAATCCTTGCATTTCCTATTTCTTCGACTACAGCCCAAAAATCACCCACAATCCCTAGTCCCAAAGCCTGTCCCCACCATTGGCCTTTACAATGTGTATATAGGCCCCCGTGAGCCTCCGTTTTGCAAGAAGCGCCGGTCGATAGTAAACGTAGGCCTGATTGTGCTGGCTGCCGAATCGATCGGTTGCTTCTGCCGTCTTTCTCGCTGCGGTTTATCGTTTTGGGGGTACAAAACCGTTCATACACATATAAAACACGAGACGATACGTCAGGAGAATCCACAATTTATCGTTTTATTCCCACATACATACACTGATTGCAATCCACAAAAATGCGACAATGCGGAGAGCGAGGTCGCACAAGACGATCTCGGCTCAGGGCTCCAGAGGACCGCGGGATGCCGTTGCCTGGAAAAAAAAATAGTAGAACAAAAATAAAAACAACGCTCACATGCGGGGCTCGGCAGCCTTTGGAACCATTGAGCTAACTTGCGGCACTTTATCATAGGCATTGTGTGTTAGCTGAATGAGCGAAACCGTTGAAAGCTAATGTAATCGGCTTACAGATAGTTGGGACGCAGTCGTAGACGTTGGAATTGAGGGGCACGCGGTCGTAGACAGCGGAATTGGACGGGATGAGACCGTAGAGCGTGGACTTGGGCGGGACGTGGTCGCAGACATTGTTAGGCGCTAAAATCAGAGCCATCTCCGTTTTCGGAATAGGAAAAGTGTATGGGCAAGCCGGAAGAATTTACTTGGGCTTTTGGGTTTTTCTCAAAATTTGGACGTGGCTGTTCGAGCGGGTCCAGCGGGTCAGTGTCCCACCGCTATCCCAGCTGATCAAGCGCTAAAATGGCCTAGATGGTCGCAAAACACGAGATACCCTATCCTCAACAGCCTCCTCTCGCGCAGTTCCATTCCTGGCCCGTGACTTGGTTCAGCCGCATCTAGGTCAAAAGTTTAAATTTTTTCAGGATCCCCACCTGGCCCTGATTCCATGTCAACACGCATCTCGCACCATATGACTCTTGCGGCGTCCCAGCACGACGCGCCGAGTTCTTCGCCGATCGGTGGACGCTTGAGGTGACTGGACTTGCGGCGAGTGTGGCGCGTGAACCTTAGTTTTGAACTAGTAAGAGAAGCTAGAATCCGAGCAAGAAGAAGCGCCCTACCGGCAAGAGGTTTAGCGAATCCTTGACCACTCCCCATGATTGCGTGCGCATTCTCCCGAATCTGGAGGGGAATATTAGGATAATCAAGCGCAAAATAATGCCATACCTGCGCTTTGAAGCGGGTGTCTTCGATGCGCGCTTGGCCTTCAAATCTATTCTCCAGAGAGAAGCCCTTGTTCAGATTATCCAGTTGCTCATCGATGAACCAAAGAAAGCTTCCATTCGGATATGGCTAGTTTTTTCCCGCACCCGCTCGAAATACTGCGCGCCGTCACGACCGACAAGAGCTTCCAAGAACGGACGAACACTGCTGGGTTGTTCGGCGATGAACCGCTCACGGTTCGGCGAAAATGTTCAAAAAATTACTGGCGAGTCTCAAGACGAAAACTACCTTCCCGGCCGAAGCTCGAACACAAGACCTCCTTGAAGCCGCTGAAGAGCTGGGAATTGGCGCGGTAGAAGATACGCGAGAAGCGATCGCTCGATAGTCACCGCTTTCAGCTTTTCCTTCAGATATGCTGTCAGCGGCTCGGGCAGATGGTTAACATCGTTGTGTGAGCCGTTTAGCGTCTTGGTGTCCAACCGATTACCATCACATCACCGACTTCGCGCAGCGTCTGAAATTTGAAAAATCAAAGCTGGCATAAATGCATCATACCTCCATTCGAGTAAATTGCGCTTGGGGACGCTGATCAGGTAAGGTATAGGCGCATGCAGCATCTCGATAAGGGAGGCCGGAAGAATTGGAATCAACAGCGATTGCCTAAAGTTAAAATTTGAGCTATCGACATCAAAAATACCAGTGCATAGGGAAGAGTAGGGTGCTGGCAGCCATAACACAGCTGCTCACTTGCGATAGGTAAGATTTTTTAAGAAGATTTTTTGATGCAAGATGCCCTCTTAGAAGGAAACTAGAATATTTGGGAAAGGAACTGAATTTTAGTCAGAAAAATTATTCTCTTAATATCTTTATGAAAGAATTTTTGTAGTTCGCGGTTTGGTGATAGTGGAAAAACTGGTGAAAACATAGCTTCAATTTTTGCTAGAAAATCCGACCGGAAAGATAATCAAACGGTCAACTTTTACTCTAGAGTAAAGTGTGGTTCAGCTGCATCGGCAAGTATCGTGTTGCAAAACTCGAGCAGGCATGGATTTTCACTGGCCGTGGAAGTTGATCCCAATGCGCGGCGCTGTTCAATCGGAGAGGCTAAAAATGTGGAAGTCCGGGATAAAAAAGAAAAGGTACCTTGCCCATATCAAGCGCACACAGGCACCAGGAACCGGACCTGATGGCGGTAGAGTTCCGAGAGGATCACGTCACACCTTTGTTTCTGGAAAATGACTTCAATGACTGAAAAAGTGTGTAGCTTACATCATTTCGCCCATTGACTGCGAGAGGTGGGCGAGCACACTGGGGAAGAAGCCATCCCAGGGTAGCGCACTAAAAAGAGGAATTCTTTCTCTGCTTGCTGCCAAGAAATGGTACTATTCGAGTTCGAGTGGTTAACGTTGGGATGACTTTCAAGCCTGCTCACAAGATTAAAAAATAGCTTGGGTGAGCTTGACAACAGGCTAGTTTTTGGAAAAGAAAATAAAGAAAAATCGCGGGGCAAGAAATCAGCCACCTAAAATTACCTAACAAAAATGATCAGTCCGGTCGCTTTCTCTCAAAGTATGGCTCTCCAAATTGGGAATACACATAACTCGCGAGATCCATTAATAAGTTTAGCGCAAACGATTCGGCTGGCCTGAGCTATGAAAATTTGATTAGTGAACGGCTGAAAAAACGGACTTGTTCCCTGGACATGGGTCGGCAAATCCCAGGACCGTCGGGACTGACTGTTTTATTACAATCCCAAAGAAAAATTTAACCAATCGCTACACCCACACCTCGGGATACTTTGATAGCAACGTTGGCCTTCGCCTTTCGCTCGAATCACGCAAAAGACGTCGAAAATCGTGACGGGTGTGCTAAACACGACAATTTCCAAAACACACAGAATCCTTACTTCGAGCGCGAATTCGCAACGCCATCATTTACCAGCCAGTTGGGTGCGACGAGCAGTTAGTTGAGCCGGAAAGGGAATTGGGAATTTGTGAGAGTCCATAGCAGAAACCGCTTGAAAGAGCAGAGAATGACTGGGTGGAACGAAGGGGGCGAATGTTTCGGGGAGGAGGCGTCGAAAACAATTACGAATAGTTCCTTGGTGCAAAAAAAACATAAAATTAAAATTATATAAAATACTGTAGTAGTAGACAAAGTATCAAAAGAATTAAAAAAACACTTTCAGAAGTTTTTTCTACAAAAATGGTTTGAACTTTAGAAGAAGGAAAGAAAAGGTCAATTGGACCCGAAATGAACGCGTGAGGACAAATTACGGATCCTACCGTATTTTTCGTTCCGAGACCCCGGTCGTCAGATCGGGTGCCAGTGGTTTTTCAGTTACACATTTTTCTCTGCGCTCGCTGAGCTTTACATTTTTTTCAAACGTTCTTTCTGCTTTCCAATTCTCCCACGTTGTTCATGTTCATTTTTCAGATACTGAATCATGGCCGATCAGAAGTCGGAGTTCATCGAGAGGGCTAAGCTCGCGGAGCAGGTGCGTTGCTTTTCACTCTTTCATTTTGTTTTGCTTTTCGTGATATTCATTCTTTTAAGCCGAGCGCTACGAGGACATGGCCAAGGTCATGAAGGAGGTCGTCGAGCTTGGCGGGAGGAGCTGGAGCTGGAAAGTCAGGAAACCTCTTCTCGGTCGCCTACAAGAACGTGGTCGGGACTCGACGCTCTAGCCCTGGCGCACGCTCGTCACCATCAAGGAAAACCGATACAAGACCTCGTCAGCAACCACCGGCTCACTGGACGAATACCGCACTCAGACTGGACAGAGCTCAGCGAACTCCTGCACATGGAAACAATCGTAAGCCTATTTATGTCTTTTGATTTTTTTATAGTCTCTCCTACAAAACTACCTCATCCCGACGGCACAGTCCTCCGATCCGAAGGTGTTCTACATCAAGATGCGAGGCGACTATTTCCGCTACTTGGGAGAGATCCTTCTTGGAGACGATCGCAAAGGTATTGTTAATTTATGCCTTTCCTACCAGCTTCTTTAGCGCTAGTCGAAAAGGCCGAACAAGCTTACAACGAGGCCTTCGTCATTGCCAAGGAGAACATGGTTCCGACGCACCCAATTCGTCTCGGCTTGGCCCTCAACTTCTCGGTCTTCTACTATGAGCTGGCTGGCAACCAGCAGAAGGCTTGCAAAATGGCTAGGGAGGTGAGGGATCGGTTTTCAAGGTTATACGATTATTTTTTTTTTCTTCCAGGCGTTTGATGAAGCTGTCAAGGGGCTGGACTCGTTGAACGAAGATTCGTACAAGCGGTTCTAACCCTCATCGTGCAGTTGCTGCGAGACAACCTGACGCTCTGGGGCACCGAGGCGCTCGATGAAAGCCAGCCGGACGACTGATTGGACGTGCGCCAAAGTCCCCAATTCATCTGTGTCACCCGGCACCACATGCGTATCTTCTTTGAGCTTTTGCATTTGAGAAACATTCGATAAAGCTTTTAATTCAGCAATGTTGGTCACATCTTACAGCGTTAGCAAGCGCAGACCGTTGGAACAACTGTTTTGGGTAACTTTATTCAGGCGCACGAGTCTGGTTCCAAGTGAGTCTAGTAGTTTGTCACTTCTTCTTGTCAGCTTCCGAAGCAGTCGCCGCCCACGCCAGCCAGCGTTCGATAGTTGGGGTCGGGCCGTCGCTGAAAGCCATGGAGATTGTCAACCTGCTTCTCTCTTTGACACCGTCTTATCTGACGACAAACAGATGTCTGCAAGTCCCACCAGCTTTGGCGCCCTTATTGGCAGGAGCGACTGGCTTTCCACCGCCGCCTCCACCCAGCCTTTTTATCGGCTCCGAAGCAACCGCCGCCGACGCCAGCCAGCGTCTGGTAGTTAGGGTCGGCCGTAGCTGCAAACGACAAATTTTCGAAGTCGCGCTACGTGCCTGAGTACGGGCTTCCTGAATCACTCACCAGCTTTGGGCGCCCTGGTTAGCCGGTGCCTTGGCCTCCACCACTGCCGCCGCCTCCACTGCCAGCTCCCTTCCTTGTCAGCGCCGAAACAGTCGCCGCCGACACCAGCGAGCGTTTGGCAGTTCGGATCGTGGGTGGTCCCAGCGTAGGGCCGGAAGATGGAACGGTTACAAACCAGCCACTCCGGCGGCTCCTGGCTTCGGGCCTGCACCGCCACCACCGCCTCCCCTCCGGCGGCCTTTTTTTTGTCAGCACCGAAGCAATCGCCACCAACACCAGCGAGGGTTTGGCAGTTCGGATCGTGCGTACCTAAAATATTTTTGATTGAGGGTGAGAATGGCTGCCAACCAGCCACGCCGCCAGTTTCTCCGCTTTTTCGCCATTCCCTCCGCCGCCGCCGCCCCCAGTTCCCTTCTTGTTCGCACTTTTGTTAAGTCGCCCCTGACACCGGCCAATGTCTGGTAGTTTTCGTCGCGCGTACCTGATGCGCGTGGCGAAAGCTCGGCAAATCAGCGCAAACCAGCGATTCCGCCAGCGCCAGGCGCCTTCGGGCCGCCGCCACCACCGCCTCTGCTGCCTCCTTCTTGTCGGCGCCAAAGCAGTCGCCGCCAACTCCAGCCAATGTTTGTTCACTGGGGTCGTGAGTGCCTGAAACAGTAGATCGACTGCCTCTACCATCAGTTTACCAGCGACTCCTCCAGCGGCCGGGGCCTTGGGTCCCGCACCACCTCCTCCGCCGTCTTCCTCCCCGCCGCCGCCCTTCTTGTCGGCACTGAAGCAATCCTCGCCGACTCCGGCCAGGGTTTGGTAGTTCGGATCGTGAGTACCTTAAGGACTATTAAGGCTAGACGAGGAGATTAACTGGCGATTCCTCCTGCAGCCGGGGCTTTGGGTCCTGCGCCACCGCCGCCGCCTCCTCCTCCTCCGCTGCCATCCCCGTCCTTCTCTTCTTGTCGGCTCCAAAGCACTCGCCACCAACACCAGCCAAGGTTTGGATAGTTGGGGTCGTGGGTACCTGCAGACAATCAGGCCTTCGCGTTGGACTGACGGTGGATGGGTAAATTTTCCCAAATAATCGCGCAGCGAAAATAACGGGAATTCTGGCCCTTTTTTCCCCTTGGATGCGTTAATTTTTCCGCTAAGAGCCCAGGCTTTTTCCGGCGAACGTGCCACCCACCAGCAATTCCTTCTTGCGTCGGCTTCTTCAGTGGATCCCTCGTTAGTTTGGGCCTGGGCGGCGGGGCTGCTGGCTTCGTCTCCAGTCGCGGGTGCAGCTGCGGCTGGGGCCGCCGCTGAGCAGCTCCCATCTTTGAGGCACCGCCCTTCTTGCCAGCACCACCAGCCTTCTTCTTCTTCGGGTCTTTCTTTGGCTTGACGGCGCCTCCGCCTGGCCGGGACTGCTCTCTTCTCTTCCTCCTCGTCATCGTCATCCTCTTCTTCCTCCTTTTTTTCTGGAAACCAAATTGCTTTCTACCCAAGAACTTTTTTCAGCTCCCAGCACTTCGGGCTTCGATATGAATGGCGCGCCGAGAACGAAGGCAACCGCCCGGAGCAGTATGGATTAAAGCAAGATTTCTGAATTATGGAAATTTCAGGAATCACTCATGAAATCCATACCTGCCAACTCCATATGCCAGATTCCAGTCCAACCAAATAGAAGCTCGAGAATTACAAATGTTGGCCGGGCTTCAGAATTTCTGTTTTAGATCGGGAATTTATGCAATTAGACGTGAGCTTCCATTTTATTCGAAAGCTTGTAAATTCCGCATTTTAATTGTATTCAGTAGTTTTCGGCCAGCAAGTGTACTGGAGATTAGGGGATTTTATTCTTTTTTTTCAAACGTTCACACTCTCTTTCGGGGTCTTTCTCCCCGGGATCCCTTTGGCGTGATTTCACGGTTTTTCCCCGATTCTTTGATGCGAATGCTCAGCAACTCCTTCCCGCCAAAGCGACCTCGAGACCCCCGCTCTCCTCCCGTCCCATGCGCCCCTAGGATAGTACCCAGCTCTCTTCTCTAAACCTCCAAAGGGGGAAGGGCTGTTGGAAGGCAAAATTTTGAGTTTGCAGGGCGTGTTGCTGAATGTCGGTGGTCCTCTTTGAAAATCGATTTTACAATTTCAATATCTTTCCGGACCAGTTTGTATTCGCTAACCTGTTTTCAGCATTCATACATAACGACTCCTCCCGGCTTTTTTCATACGCCAGTTTTAGATGCCGCCAAAGCGCAGGGGATTCGTCGACAGCGACGACGAAGATGAGCCGCAACCATCGAAGCGTGCCAACCGCACCACGCCGATCAAGGCCGCCCAGAAAAGGCCCGATACGGCCACGCCAAGGAAGAAGGTTCGTTAACTTGCGATTTACGAACATTTTTGTGCTTTAGGATGCTGGCTCTGCGTTCACGGCCGACCATTTGATGGATGGGCCCGAACGAGGAAATGAATTCGATGACGACGATGAGGGGCGCATTGTTAGTTTAAAATCTCACTCCTTCAACTTCTTCTTAGGATTACGCGGCTCTGGACGACGAGGAGCTGATGAAAATCCAGATCCCGCCAGCTTTCGACCCTGACTGCAATCGCTGGATACGAAGAAGGGCCGCCCCGTCATTCAGCGAATCGATGTCGAGAATTTCAAGTCGTACCGTGACAAGACGACCATCGGACCTTTCCATACGGTGAGCATTTGGTTTTTGAAAAATTTGGATTCCTTGATTTTCAGAATTACACTCCATCATCGGCCCAAACGGCTCCGGCAAGAGTAACGTCATCGACGCACCTCCTCTTTGTTTTCGGATTCAAAGCCAGGCAGGGTATGTCGCGTTTTTCTGGGACAATAATTTGCGGCTAATTTAGATCCGCACAAAAACGTCGGCGTGCTCATCCACAACTCGGCCGGTCACGAACAATTTCCTGACGTTTTGCAGCGTCGAAATTCTCTCCACCAAGGTTATTGATAAGGTGTAAGTGCTATTTTCAAAGCTATCTGACTGAAGTTTTTAGGAAAATGGATTCGGATTTGGCCCCCGAATTCGCGCTTCTCCATTTGCCGCACAGCATACAAAAGCAACAAGTTTAGAGAGTACGAGATCACGGAGAACGGGCGGCACGATGAAGGTGGAGAATTTAGACCGTGAGCTTTTTGAAAATTCCAACCTATTAGTGGTTATTGATATTCCGTTTTTGAACGTGAAGCTGTCGGTGGTAGCCGAGAAGCTGAAGTCGGTCGGCATTGACCTGAAGCACAACCGGTTTCTGATCCTCCAAGGCGAAGTTCGAACAGATTACGATGGATGCCCCCCGAAAGGTGACGACAAGAAGAAGACTGGAGGGCATGCTCGAGTATCTTGAGGATATCATCGGGTAGGCGACAATTTTTTTCTTGAAATAACACATTTTAGAACATCGCGTTACAAGGAGCCCTACAGCTTCTCGAAACCAAGATCGCGGGCTGTCGACGAACAGCTGACGAACCAACCACGGATGTAAGCTTTTTACTATGTATTCATGTTTTGCATTACGAAGTTGATCATTTCATTTTCTCATTTCCAGGCTCAGCAACGCGACAAAGGAAAAAGACCTTTGGAGGGGCCTGTCACTTTAGATCGATGGAAACTATGAAACTCGAGAACCGGATCTCCTATCACAAGAACTAGCGCTGGAGAGCAGATGACGCGCCTAAAATTGGAAGAACAAAATCACGAAGCTGAAGGAAACCGACCTAGTCGAAGCTCAGAAGAGCGAGGATATCGCAAAGGAAGAGCTGAAGGCCCTCAACGAGCTGATGCAGGAGAAGAACAGCAAGACGGCCCAGCTTACAAAGTAGGTGAACTTTCCTGCTGATAAAAGACTAAACTGGGACACATTAATTTTTTGTAGGGAAAACAAGAAGCTGCAAACAAAGTGCGATCGCGTCACCGATGAGCTTCAGCAGCAACGTCACGTGCCGGCAAGCGTCTGTAATGACATCAGATAAGAAGGCCGAGGTCAAAAAGGCTCAAGCAGAACTCGCCAATCTCAAAAGAAATACGCCAGCTGGAATCTGCACCGGAAACTGCTCGCGATAAGGTCCAACGCCAGCGGGAGATCATCGAGGAGGCAGAGAAGGACGAGGCCGATTGTCAAAGGCGATTGGAGGAGAATCAGGACGACTACTTGGAGCGCACTGCCAAGGATCGAGAATAAAAGACGACGCTAGAAGAAGAACTCGGAGTCGCTGAACAAAAAAGTCACCGAACTGGATGGGAAGACCGGGCGATATCGTGTCGAGCTGCAGGGTCTCACTGATGGTGTCGAACAGCAAGCAGGCAGGTATCATATTTTAATTTTTTAGCATGCTTTCTAACAGGCTGTCTTTTGGGTTTAGGAAGAAGCCACTTTTGTAAGCTTTACTATTGCTTCCTTTTTCAGTATGAGCAGACGAAAGCCGAAGAAAGAAGAGCAAGAGGCGCTGGTCAAAAAGACGGATCATATTCTTTCTCCTTTTCGCATCATGTTTTTTTCAAGGAACTGGAAGAAGTGCAGCAACAGCTCCCCAACGCCGAGGCCAAGCTCACCGAGAAGCGGAAGCGCCATCAGGAGCTGAAGGCGGAGGGGAGGACGTCGTCAACCGCGAGTTCAACGAAGCTGAGCAATCAGCGCTACGAGGAACAGCATCGAGTCCGCGGGGCGCAACGGGCAGTAAGATGATGCGAGATTAAGAATGGCATGATTTCTACTAATTTATTTGGTTTCTAAGCGTCACTGATGGCGTTGAAGGCGAACGGCACGTTGCCTGGCGTCATCGCTCGATTGGTAAGATATTAGCAGTTAGACTTTAGGGAAAAGTTAGAAAATATTGCTGGGAAAGATTCGCAATTTTCGCCGAAAAAAAAACTGTTTTTCTATCGAAAATTTACTTTGTAACGGTTTTGCTATTTTAGGGTGATCTCGGCGGCATCGACCAGGAGTACGACATTGCCGTTTCCACCGCTTCCGGTGCCTGGGATAACGTCGTCGTTGAAGATGTGCCCACGTCGACTACAGTCTTTCAAATCTGCCGTGAAGTACGCTAGTTAATGCTATATAAATTCTTTTCTTCCAGGAGAAGCTGGGCGTCGTCCATTGTATCTGCTTGGACAAGATCCAGCATTTGACGCAACGGATGGAGCAGCAGCGTCAGTATCCCGAGAACATGCCGCGGCTCTTCGATTTGATCAAGATCAACGACCAGCGGATGAGGGTAGCCTTCTACCACGCCGTCCAGGAGACGCTCGTCGCCACCGATTCGAATCAGGCCGCCAGGTATTTTAAATTTTCTTTCAGGATCTCTAGCTGTCTTTTATATATATCTATCTCTCTCTCTCTCTCTCTCTCTCTCTCTCTCTCGCTCTCTCTCTTCCTATGGCTCCTTCTCTCACCAATATTTTACTTATGCTTTTCAGGACCAGCCGCTTCAATGGCCAGCGTTACCGTGTCGTCACGAAAGACGGTGCTCTCTTCGAGACCTCTGGTGTGCTATCCGGTGGTGGCAAGCCGAAACAAGGAGCTCTCGGCAAGGACGCGAAGGTTGATTCGACCGGGGAAAGCGAAAAGCCTACGCACCCTCCAGAAGAACCTCGACGACAAGCAGAAGCAGCTCGACGAGGTGCGAGCCTTTCTCGTTCCCAAAAACTTGTTTTTAGTTGCGCGGCGAGCTCCAAGAATTGGACACGGACATCCCCGGCCTTTCGGCCCGCTACAAAGACCTCAAGTCGAAGGCGAGCACGCTGGAGATTGACATTTCGGTAACGTGTTTGGTTTCTTCTTGACTTCCCCTGTTTAGAATGCTGAGCCGCTGCTGAACAACTACACCAAGAGCTTGAAAGACGCCGAGGCCCGGATGAAGCAGATTGAGAATGACGTCGACGCGACCAAGGTTGAGGAGCTCGAGCGAAAGATGGCCAAGGCGAAGAAAGGTAATTGGATTTGGATTGCCTAATATTTTGTTTCAGAGCACGCCGACGCTGTTGAAATTGCTGACAAATGCCGAGCTAAGGTCAAGGCAGTTGATGCGCGCATCAATGCCGTCAGGGCCGATCTGCTTACGGTATGTTTTTTTATTAATTATGCATAGTTTTTTCTTCAGCGTTGGGAAGATGATCGCAACGAGGCGCAAAAGAAACGAACTGACGCCGAGGGGCGGACCATTGCCAGGAGAACGCCGCTCTCAACCGTGTCGACACCAACATCAAAAAGGTGCAAAAGTATTTCTATGCGTTTAAGCATCCTTTAGAATCTGACACGTCAAAAAGAGACCGAGGCCGACATTGCGCAGCGTGAGGGCGAGATTGAGGTGCTGGAGAAGGAGAAGGACCAAGGCGGCGACGACGAGGAGGAGCTGAATCAGCAGAAAAAAGAGTTTGAGGTTGGTTTTGCAGCAATTGGCCTGATTTATAGTGCTTTGCGACTAACAACTTCTTTTAGGACCGCATGAAAGAGATCGCCGAGGAACTGAAGGAGTTGAACGCCAAAAACGACGAGCAGAATCGGCGGGAGGTCGAACTCGGCACCCGAATCAAGGACCTCAGCGGCGAGGTGCAGGTCATCAAGGCCGAAATTGCGCAGGCGCAGAAGCAGATCAAGCAGACGGAGGAGAACGTGAGCTTTCTGGGCGTTGAATTACGATATTTTTTAGCGCGCCAAACTGCCCACCCACGACATCACCGGCCTCGGCATCGACCAGTCAAAGATGGACATTGATGGTGATGACTTGGTGAAGAAACGGAAATTCGTAAGCGACAATTCCGCTGTTATTTCCTGCTGTTCAGCTCATCGATATTGACGACGATGATCGAGCCCTCCGACAGAACCTCGATCTTGACATCCCAATGGAAGAGGGGGAGGTGGGATTTTACGGAATATTCCGAGTTGACCAAATCCAATCACACAGAAATTGTCACACCTCCAGTTTCAATTCACCGAAAAGTTAGCCATCGAAGCTATATAATAAATTTTTTCGGAAGTGGAAATTCGCGCAGATGAAAATTCAGAATGAGGAACATTTTGGAGATGAAAAAAAACTGGTTGTCGCAACTCTTGGGTCATTAAAGGGATAGGGGCGGCATAAGTCAATCGATTACGCGCGGGAAAGAATGTCTCTGCGCCTCTCACTGCCCAAGGGGGGTTCAACACATGCCGTCCTCACCTCTTTAACATTTATTTTATAGGATGAAGCCGCCTATCGGCAACGTTGTGCGGACATTGAGCGCCAAGTGGACGACCGTCAGCTTCGGCTCCAGAATGAATGCGAGGACAAGCGACGCCGGCTCGAGGAAGAGATCAGCGCGGATGAGAAGGCGCGCCGGGCGCAGCGTGAGCAGGAGTGCCAACATCCTCTTATGACCGGCCACATGCCGGAATACAGTGACGAAGAGGTAATTTTTACGCGCGGATCAAATATGATTTTGTTAGGTGGCCGCATTCAAGGAGGCGGACATCGACTTCAAGATCAAGGCCTACGAGCAGCAGAACATGCAGGGGAAGGTCCAGCTGAATCTTGGCATCGTCGAGGACTACAAACGAAAGGTACAAAACCAATTTCGTAGCCAGAAGTCGTCTTTTTTCAGTTGCAACGATACACGGCCGAGGTGCACAAGGTGGAGCAGATTCGCTCGGTGGTCGTCAAGTTCAAGTCGAAATACCAGGAGCTGAACACGTGCCGGCTGACCGAGTTCACAAGGGTAAGGAAGCCTCGAAAAACCGTTGAATTTTGCCTTGCAGAGCTTCCAACGCATCAAGGAGTACGTCGAGCAGATGTACCAGATGTTGACGATCGGTGGCAACGCGCAGCTCCAGATCAAGGACACCATCCGGCCGTTTGAGCACGGCATCCAGTACCTGTAAGCTTATTTTAATTGAAGTGGATTTAGAAAGTAATTCGCTATATTTTTACGCAATAATGCATTTTATCCATTTTTATTTCAGCGTGCGCCCACCTAAAAGACGTGGAAGAAGATCCAGAACTTGTCGGGTGGCGAGAAAACGCTCTCATCGCTCGCCCTCGTTTTTGCTCTCCACAAATTCAGGTAAACCTGCTGTAACTTTAGGTATACCCCATTTTTCCAGGCCTACCCCCCTCTACTTCATGGACGAGATTGACGCTGCGCTCGATTTCCGCAACGTCTCCATCATTGGGCACTATGTCAAGGTTTGCTTTGGTTTTTTGCAGCAAAACTCTTGCTGTAGGAGCGCACGAAGAACGCGCAGTTCATCATCATCTCGCTGCGCAACAACATGTTCGAGCTGAGCGACCGGCTAGTCGGTATCTACAAGGTCGACGACAAGACGCGGCACATTGTCGTCGAGCCGAGCGGCGTCTACGAGAAGGCCAGCATCAAGCAGGTATCGTGGATTTTGGTTTTTAGTTTTACCAACCCTACGCTACGTAGTTTATTATAGGCGGTATAACAATTTTACCCTTGTTTTTCAGAAAGTTGTACAACGGGTGGCCGGCAAGGAGTCCGCGCCGACGGTCCCGCAACAGATGAGACGCGGGACCACAATTGATCTGAACTCACTTTTCCCTTTCACGACATTCATACGATATACATTTTACTTTATTAAACGTGTTATTCACCCGATGCTTGTCCGCCAGTTGAGCGATAAATGCTTTTCACTTTTTTTGGGTGTTTGATTTACAACTAAAGAGGAGGTTCTCGGAATTTTTTCACTTTTACCGGCTTTAGCCGCGTTATTAATGCGAATTTCTGCCGGGGCGTTTATGGAAACAGCTTTTTTACAGTGGTGCATTTACTCGCGTTGGCTCTAAAATGGGCAGACTTAGCCCGGGGAATTTGGGAATATTATCTCATTCAGCGTTTTTAATCTTGCGTATCTGTATCTACATGTTCCCGTAGCAAATTTAGATATTAGTGCACGCTCAAAAGTCGAACAGCTCGACCTCACCTGGAGAACAAAAGATGCGGTTGCGGGATTGCGCGAATCCCCTGACTGGCCGCCTCGCAGCGGGATACTGTCCTTTCTTGGTTTTCTGCCTCTCTCTCTCTCTCTCTCTCTCTCTCTCTCGCTTTCTGGAGACACTGACTGCCCCGTTGCGCCACCAAGGAAACTTTCCGCTAATTGAGGCGCGAACCGGGCCCCACTAACCTCTATGCAAGGGAAGGCGGATTGGCTCAGGTCAACAGCCGCTCTCACCACACATACAGTCACTGCGGATTAACGCATTTTCAGTGGTTACTGGTACCTCTAAGGTCATTTTAGCGCCCTATTTCGCGTAACAATTCGATTAAAACCCTTGATTAGGTATTAGCGGGGGAACAAGTAAGGTTTTTTTTGAAACAAACACTCGAAAGAAATCAAAATTCTGGGGGTTTTTGCATTATTGGGGGACGAATTAAAAAAATAAATAGCTGAAGTGTTTCTAGACACGTTTTTATTATTTCTCTACGTAAATATTACAAATCTTCATTAAGAAAATGTCGCTTTTCGACCAAAATAGCCGATTTTTGCCCGAAATTTCGACTTTTCAAAAAACTTTTTAAACTTGTAAACTTTTTTTAGATGGTTATGCTAGTTAACGTAAAGTAATATTTGACCAGGAACACTAATAAATATTTACGATTGCAAGTTGTTGGCGCCACAAAAAAATTTTGCCCCCCTCCCCACCGATAATGCGAAAGATGCTGCTGCTGAATTCCGATAAATAACTGTTAAATTGAATTTTTTGAAACCTAAGATTTCGTGGTGACGCTGATTTACCAATTTTTGCAAGGCGGCACTAGAGCAATTATTGTCAAAAACTAAAATCCAGTCACCCCCTTAAAGCTTGAAACACAAATTTGTAAAATATCCCAACAAGTGCCCATCAATACGTCATTTTTCAGCGAAGGACCTCCCATTGGCCCTAGGTTCCGTTTTTGTGTCTATATTTCACCAGATGTCTCGGCACGTCCAGTTGGCCGTGTGTGCACCTATCGAGGGAGGGGGCTGAAGCGCCGTTTGACATTTGAATAGGGCCCATTTTCCGGGCCTTTACTGGATGGGAGGGGAGGCTTTGATTCGAGCCGCCCAATTCCAAACAAACACCTTTGCGGCTCGATTCCGTTCCCCTACTAATTACGGGTCGGTGCTCTCTCTATCTCTCTCACTCTCTCTCTCTCTCAAATCCCGAAGTGCCAATTTGTTTCTAATGCGCTCCTTTCCCTTTGTGAGCCCGTAGTTAGCGGCTCGATAGGGAAGGTGGGGTACTGTAGAAAGTGGAACATTTTACTGTAAAAATAAGGAAAAATTTAAGTGGAAAGAAGTATTTTATTTCTCTCTTCCTCTCTCTCTCTCTTTCTCTATCTCTCTCTCTTGCTCTCTCTCTCACTCTCTCTCTTTATCTCGCTCTGTCTCTCTCTCTCTCTTTATCTCTCTATCTCTATCTCTCACCGGCTTTTTTTGCAGTTTAAGTTATTGATCTTGACTTCGGCCCCCGTCCATAACTAAAAATCCATAACTTGCTCGTCCCTTTAAAATGGCTTAGAGCGCGATTGGTTTATAATATAAACACTAATATAATTCGTTAGGAAGATAGTTTATCAAGGAATTAAGAAAAAAATGTAGCAAAAAACTCGGGAATGCAAAAATTTTTCGAACGCTTTAGTGGAACTTGCTCGATAATCAGATTTTGCATGATTTTGATATTCCCAAAATTGCAGCTCGGTTTTGTTTAACGGGTTCATTTCTAGTTTTGTTCTCTCTTTGTTTCGGCTGCAGCGTTGGTACTTTAGACGTAAAAAATATAGCAAAATAGATAACTTTTTTATGGTAGTAACGGAAAATAGAAGCTTATTGTTGAGTTTGTCTTATTGATGTTTGTTTGAAGCGGTGTATGCGACATTATTTTGCAGTAATTTTACGATAGTCTTGGTTTCATGAAACAACGTATTCTTTTCGATTTACGGACTCTAGTGTTCATAGGAGTATCGCGTACTATATGAGAAAATTAATTTGCGGGTTTTCGATGTCTGATTATGATTTTAAAAAAGCAACGAAGATTTTCGGGGACGAATAAAGCCTTTTAGTAGCTACTCTACTCTGAATGGTTAGCAGAAAAACTTGTCGTTTACTGAATTTATATGAAACATTTTTTGTTTACCCGTTTAGCGGATTATTTTTGTCATTTTATTTTGACTTCTCTCTGTGAAGCAGTTTACCCTTAATTTGCCTACCTTTTAATTCAGATTTATTTCGATTTCTTTCTAAAAGACGATTGCGCGTACTGTTTCGTCAAATCTTCTCCAGCCATCTGCCCCATTTCAAAACAAAAATTCCCACGGTTTTGTGAGTCATAAAAAGCGGCAGTTTTGCCGGTGCCCGGGGATGCTAATTCGAATCGGCATATACTTTTCGGCAATCGGAAAGAGACTTGGGGGTCAGGTTACGAAACTTGTTCTAACAATGCCCGATGTCTAATTACCCCTTTAAATCGCTGCTTGTATCATTTTTTTCGGAAACATCTTTTTTCCAAGTAAAATAATTACCAGCGCACGCTTTGTATTAGCTGAATTGAGTATATGCGAATGGCGTTGAGTTAATTACAAGACACAAATAAGGGGTGATTAGGGTGCTAAAACAGCTGATTGACCAAGGAATCTGCGAAACGTCTTTTTTTTATTGTATTCTTCGGTGGTACTGGACTGCTAGCGAGGGGGGATATCAGGAGGCGGAGCCGTTTGTTGGAAAATAATGCTTTTATAGTGTTTTTAGTGGGCTTTCATCAGCTTTTTATCTTGAATAATAGCGCGAAATTTAATAAGGATGTAAGATTGTTGGCTGCGTACGTCATTGATGGGAAAAATTAGCCCCGCCCCCGCTAACAATCCAGAACATCTTTTCGGTCACCGATTGCTCTCTCTCTCTCTCGCTCTCACCTCTCCTCGCTTTTTACATGTATATTACCGAAAGCCTGCGGAATTATTAATTTCTCGTCGAACGGGAAGTGCAATTCGTTGAAACATTTTTCTGTTTTTTTTACATCCAACAACATGATCGCCGAAATTTTTTGCTACTTGTTTACGTACATATAATTTAATGACAGCAACCACTCTTCCAGCATCACCCAAAGGGGCGTGGCTCTCGCCACGGGGCCAACTGGCATAATTGAGGCCGGAAATCTGTCAATAAAATCGAGGGTTTGGTGGTGGTGAAAGAAGGGGAAGAAGAAGAGGAAGAGGATTGAGCCAAGGCCATATTCGCATACCAAGTGCCCCACCTGGGGGGGTAGAATCTTCAAGATTATCCCCCTCTTCTTTTCGTCCTGCCTGTATTTTCTAAGCCAAATCCTAGGCCCTAAAGGGTGATCCGGCCTCAAAAAATGCCAAATTCTTAACCTTCTGGGGAATTTGTTTCTAATGTCGTTTATATGTCTCTACAGCTAGAAAAATATTTCTCTCTCTCTTGCGCTCTCTCTCTCTCTCTTTCTCTCTCTCTCTCTAGTTCTTACTTTTACGAGAAAGAAGAGCGTAAACTTACACCCTTTTTTCCATATTTCTCATTCCTAAGGAAACGCTGCTGATCTGTCCCCAAATTTCGGATTTGATCAGAATTGCCCGGATATGGCGAAGAAACGATTACTGCTCAAAATTTTTATTGGAATGCAACATGAGACGAAACATTTTTTTCCACAAACTCTAGCTTGGAAAATGGGTGTTTCATTCTTTTAGCTGCCTATTTAGAAATTAAGAAGGTCAATTTCGGCTTCTTCGTTAGGGCAAAACAATGTTATATCTGAATTTATATATTCAGGGCCTATCGACGTATACGAGTTGCTCCGACCAGTGAAAGGGCTGACTTTTTAGGAGACTCGGACATCGAGGCCGTTCGGTAATTTTAGGTTTGTCGGTAGAAGGGGAAATCGGTGGATCGGATAACCTGTAGATCATCGAACATGACATTCGGTTTCTGTCGTAAAGGTTTGTGAACGCT